ACAACCCCAGCCTCTGGCCATGCTGTTATTAAAGTCTGTTTTAAGTGTTGTAAAATAATGTAATTTGTGGCATTCCCTTTATCAGACCAGCAGTGACATCAGCCAGGGAGATGGAATTTGACCTTATTTTTCTTAATGAATAACTTCCAGCTACAAGTCAACATGTTCCTTAAACATTCTCAATTCTATTAAAATGTTAAAGTGCTTCTCATGTGCAAAAGTAAGCACTCTACTATTGATCTATATCCCCAGCCCTCTATAAGATTTTTTGATTTCTAGCCTGTGGTGGCACATGCCTATAATCCCAATGACATGGGAGGCTGAAGCAAGAATCTCAAAAGTTTGAGCCTGGGCATTTCTTTAAAAAAGATTTTTTTGGTGGGTGGGGGGTATCTAGGCAAAATAATTTCCATAAGAATAATTACACTAGTGGCTGGGGTTGTGGCTCAGTGGTAGAGCACTTGCCTAGCATATGTGAGGCACTGGGTTCAATCCTCAGCACCACATATAAATAAATGAATAAAAGAAAGGTCCATCAACATCTAAAAAAATTTTTTTAAATAATTATACTGCCCTGGATGAAGTGATATATACATATAATCCAGCAACTCAAGAAGGCTGAGGTAGGAGGATTACTACTTCAAGACCAGCTAGCCTAGACACTTTAGCAAGACCCTGTCTCAAAATAAAATTTTTTTAAGGGGAGGGGATATAACTTGGTGTTAGAATGCTTGCCTAGCATGGACAAGGGCTGGGGTTCAATCCTCAGCATACCCCACCCCCAAACAAGAATAATTATGCTTTATTTGGGGGTACTGCAGATTGAACCCAGTAGTGCTCTACCACTAAGCCACATCCCCAGCCCTTTTATATTTTATTTTGATACAGGGTCTCACCAAATGCTTAGGGCCTCACTAAGTTACTGAGTCTGGCTTTGAACTCATGATCCTCTTGCCTCAGCCTCTCATGCCGTTGGAATTACAGATGTGCTATTCAGAAACAGTTCAAAATTAGGGGCTGGGGCTGGGGCTCAGCGGTAGTGCACTTGCCTGGCATGTATAAGGCGCTGGGCTTGACTCTCAGCACTGTATATAAATACCTAGCCTTTATTCTTTTTATTATTGATAATATTAACATCTACCCAGTTACTTTAGATAGAAATATGGAAGTTATTCTAGACAATTTTTTCCCCGAACCCTTGCATCTAATTAGTTGCCAAATCCACTCCTAGGGAGACAGAATGTTATAGTGGAAAACACTTGACAGATCTGGGCTTACATGCCAACCTGTGTCATTTGGGCCAAGTTACTAAACCTCACTGAGCCCGAATTTCTAGGGCCATAATAAGGATGATATTGCCTGTCTCTAGAGTTGTGGAAAAGTAGAATGAAATAATGAAAAGTGCCTAGCACAGTAGAATAACTCATTCTAACTCTACCCTAGCCAAAGTGATCTTTTCAACTCTGTCCCTCTCCTACTTCAAGTTCTTTGGTAGTTGGCTTCCTGTTGTTTCTGGGTTTAAAGTTCAAAATGCCCATGCAAGACTTTTCATGATCTGGTCCCTGCTGTCTACATTTTGAGCTTTATCTTGTCTTATTCTTCCATGTGTGCTTAACATTCTAGCCACAGTGAACTCTGGGATGTGCCATAGTCTTCTGCCATCTCTCTACCTACCTGCAGTTCCCTTCCTTCCTTTTTTTTTTTTTTTTCCTTGATGTGTTTCTGGTTATCAAACCCAGGGCCTCACGCATGCTAGACAAGTGCTCTACCAATGAGATACACCGCAGCCCTCCCCTCCTTTTCGAATGTCACAGCCTTCCTTCTCTCATATCACAACACACCTACATTAAAAACATTTATGAAGTTTTTTAAATATTTATTTTTTAGTTATAGGTGGACACAATATCTTTATTTTCTTTTTATGTGGTGCTGAGGATCGAATCCAGTGCCTCATGCATGGTAGGCAAGCGCTCTACCTCTGAGCCACAACCCCAGCCCACATTTATGAAATTTTAACTGAAATGCTTTTCCTTTCCACTCTCCCTTCTCCATAAGCTGTACAATGTTCTTTCATGATGTGTCCTGTTTATGACATGTTCAGAGAAAAAGGCAAAAACAAAAAACGCATTTTACATTTTTCAAGAAGCAAAATACAAATATTTAAGTAGCACTTAGTAGAGTAAGAGGGCCAAGTGTCATTTGGGAGTATAGGCTATATTAGGACAAGAAAACCCTAAGAAGTACTCATCATTAAGTCTGTCCCTTAATCTTTACAGGAAGGATATCAAGCACATAATAAGGACAGGTGGCATTTGAACCATGTGCCTTATATATATCTGGAATCATCTGAGAAGATATTGACTCCTAGTAGGCACATTAATGACAGGAAGAAGATATTGACTCCTAGTAGGCACATTTATGACAGAAGAGGTCAGGCATCCACCTAGGAAGGAAGAGGAGCTTTTCCATCTTGGTTAGTCTGAACAGCAATGTAAAAGAGCCATGATCTCAAAAATTCCCAGTGCCATTCAATAACAGTTCAAAATTAGGGGCTGGGGCTGGGGCTCAGCAGTAATGCACTTGCCTGGCATGTGTGAAGCGTTGGGTTCGACTCTCAGCACTGCATTTAAATAAATAAAATGAAACTAAAATAAGAGTTCAAAATTAAATCAGTGAAAAGAAAAATCCCTCTTTCAAGTAAATAAACTCATTAGAACTATCACTTTTTTCTTTTTTTGTCCTTATGCTAAAAATAAAATGCTAACCAGTATATCTCTGAACATTTGTATATAAGTATGCATGTGTATCCTTTTACTAGTTGTAATTACTCATTTATTCCTCAGATATTTATTGAGTAACTACTTTGTGCTAGGCACCACTCTAGGTTCTGAGAATAAAATGGTGAGCAAAATAGCCTGTCCACATGTCACTGTTCTCTATTAGTCTACATTCAGTTGAGGAGAGACAGTAAACAAACTTGATATATAGTCATCTGGAATTAGATGCTGTGAAGAAAAAGGAAGCAAGGGTAGAGGATAAAGTGCGATGGAAGGAGCTAGTTTAGACAAGATAGTCAGTCAAGGCTTCTCTGCAGAGAAAACATGATTGAGAAAAGATCAGAAAGCAGAGAGGGAGCCAGCTGTTCAGATATTCCCTCCACTTGCTTTTTGTTATGTTATTTAAAACATTGCTGTGAATATTGTGTTTATTCTCGGGTCAGGGTATTAACAGCTTAAGGGAATTTCTTTCTTCTTATAACATCATATGATCATATCCCTAGGAAACTGACTGGCTCTTATTCAGCAGACAGTGGAACTTGTAGAGCTGACACAGTTTTCATTTTTACATTGGCTGCTAGAAAACTGAGAGAAATCTGCGGCCCACCCATAATGACAGTAGTGGTCATGAAGATCTTAACAAGATCTTTTTTGTGGTGAGAGGATGTGCCTCAGTGGTAGAGCATTTGCCTAGCATTTGCACGGCCCTGGATTTGGTCCTAGCACAGCAAAAAGAAAAGAATATCTTTTTTTGGGGAAAAAAAAAAAGAACAGTGGTGAATTATAAATGTATATCCTTGAAATAGAAAACACACAATAGGGGCTGGGGATGTGGCTCAAGCGGTAGCGCTCTCGCCTGGCATGCATGCGGCCCGGGTTCAATCCTCCACACCACATATAAACAAAGATGTTGTGTCCGCCAAAAACTAAAAAATAAATATTAAAAAATTCTCTCTCTCTCTCTCTCTCTCTCTCTCTCTCTCTCTCAAAAAAAAAAAAAAATGAGATCCTTGAATCCTTTAAAAAAAAAATAAATAAAACACACAATAAAGTGTGGCTATCCCAAAGAATTAACAAATGTAGTTATACTACAGGCCAGTGGTTCTTGGGAGGGGGTGTATTTTGGCATTGTTGATGATCATAATTGTAGGATGCTGCTGCCATCCAACATCGAACAGGACAGCCTACCACAAAGAATTATCTGGCTCCAAATGTCAATAATCCTAAGGTTGGGAAACCTTGCTGTAGACTAGACCATTCAATCTATAATTGCATACACTGGAGCTATAACTTCTTGTTACAAAAATTACAGACGTTTTCAGTCTTAGTCATTGTGCTGCTATAACAAGGTGCCTGAGATTGGCTAATTTATAAGCAACAGATAAATATCTGTTTATTTCCTTATGGTTCTGGAGGCTAGGAAGTGTAAGATCAAGGTGACAACAAGTCTACTTTCTGGGCCCATTCTTCATAGATGGTGCCCTCTAGGTGTCTTCACATGGTAGAAGGGACAGAAAGGAGGAATGCAGGAAAGCAAAAGAGGCCTAACTTCCTTTCTCAAACCCTTTTATAAATCTGCTAATCCCATCTATGAGAGCATGGTCCTTGTGATTCTAATCACTTCCCAAAAGACCCTACCTTTCTTTCTTTCTTTCTGTCTTTCTTTCTTTTTTAAATTGTAGATGGACACAATACCTTTGTATTTATTCATTAATTTTTATGTGGTGCTGAGGACGAAACCCAGTGCCTCACACATGCTAGGCAAATGCTGTACCGTTGAGCTACAACCCCAGCCCATCTTTTTCTTTTTCTTTTTTTTCCCCAAATGCTGGGGTGTACCCAAGGCCTCACACATGCTAGGGAAACTCTACCACTGAGCCCAGCCCAGCCCTAACATCTTCATATCACCATACTGGGGATTAACTTTCACTGTGAGTTTTAGAGGACACATTCAACCTGAGCAGTCTTTGTGTTGCTTACTGTAGCATGTGGTGTGCATTCTAATGGGAAGGTTGGGTGCCCCACGGTCATCAGTCAAATATTTCTGAAAGCAGTAATTTTTCTCTTCAAGAAATCTGTATTCTGCCCACTTAGTCACAACCTCAGGTTGACAAAACAAAGGGGAAAGATGTCTTTTGTTTGAAATCCAGTATTTTGAATGTGTGAGGAAACAGCATAGTTGAAATAAGGCTGTGTTCCTTTCATCATCCTTTCTCTTTGCAGGCTTTCATAGAAACCATGTTTGCCAGTAAAGCCCCTGTGGAAGAGGCCTTTCTTTATGCCAAGGTGAGCCTCAGATGGTGGGAAGGTCCTCTTGGAGATGAAAGTCATTGATTTACAGGTGACATTCAATAGGCTTTTCGGGGAGTAATAGCATGTCCTTGGGGAGGATTTGGTTCTAAATGTTGTTGGTAATTTATTAGATGAATGCAGTGCTACAATTAAAGAAGAAAAATGCAAAGCAGAACAGATGAAGGAAAACAGTGTAAGATGAGAAAAATAATACTGTTTTGGTAAACATGAAGGAAGAAGGATCTGAGGTAGCATGTGGGTGGTAGCAGATAGATACCTCAAGTCTACATCTCCACCCAGAGCATAGTGAAATTGACAGAATTTACCAGTCACCCAGATCCTTTTTCACTTACCAAAAACATTTAGAGTGGTAGCTGTTGGAAAGGTTGAAATTAGTAGTTTTAGAGCTGTTGTTAAAAATATAAGCCATATTTTATTGTTTAGCTAAATAAGAATAAACAAATAGTAACCTTATACAGTGGGTCTCTGGCTCACTATTCTTCATAGGTCTTCTCTGTCCTCTTCTGGACTTAATTTGAAAATCATGAGAAATTTAGAAAACACTCAGAAGAAAAGAATAGACTCAATAATAAGTTTGAATAACAGGATTGGTGAGAATAAAAGGGTACGTATAGAATAGATTACAGTACATGGGGTGAGAATCAAAGACTAAAAGCATGAAAAGTTTGGTTAGATTCCCAGTAATCACCCTCATATAGTAAGCGCAGGCATGGAGGCAGAGGCTGCTAAAGACAGCCTTGGGCTGGGGCAGACCTACAGAGATCATCCACAATTCTTACCGTGTTGTTTTCCAGTTTGAATTTGAATGCCGGGCTCGCGGTGCAGACATCTTAGCCTACCCACCTGTGGTTGCTGGTGGTAATCGGTCAAACACTTTGCACTATGTGAAGAATAATCAACTCATCAAGGTACATAAAATGCCCCCAGTGCTTCTCCCATAAGGTCCAGATGGCCTAGTAGAAAATGCAGTAACCTTCCACTTCCACCAACTGCCTTTTAAAAGGCTTTTTATTGTTTAAAAAATGATTTTTACAGATATTATCTCATTTGTCCTTGAATTATCCTTGTTAGATGGGAGCAACTATTAACATGCCTGCATGATAGATAAGGAAAATAGACTTTTAAAAACTTAGCAACTCGGGGCTGGGGCTGGGGCTGGGACTCAGCGGTAGAGCGCTCTCCTAGCATGCGCATGGCCCTGGGTTCGATCCTCAGCACCACATAAAAATAAATAAATAAAAACAAAGGTATTATATCCAACTACAACTAAAAAATAAATATTTTTTAAAAACTTAGCAACCCATTAGTAGAGAACCAAGTATTATATTCTAAAGCATCTGCTCATTTCATTTTTTTACACTCCTTATGATGTGGTGACAGCAGTGGACCAAGCATATTTTAAAGTCAGAAGAATTTTAAGAAAACTTTATTGGCTCTGAGGAAACACATCTTTTATGATTTTCTTCCCATATAACCATACAAGTTAAGAATCATGTATTCTTTTATTAAGTCCACTGCTTGGCAAGGTGTGTTGGAACATTCCTATAATGCCAGCTACTGTGGAAGGCTAAGGTAGGAGAATTTTAAGTTTGAGGCCAGCCTGGACAAAGTTAGTGAGACTCTGTTTTTAAATAAAAAATGCTGGGGATGTAGCTTAGTGGTAGAAAAAAATTATAAGGTCTGTGATTCCATTTATAAGAAGTTCTGAAATAGGCATAATTAATTTATGGTGATAAAAACCAGGTAAGTTGTTGTTTCTGATAGGGGTGACTGGGAAAGAGCACAAGGATGTGCTTACATCTGTTATGCATTCAACAAAACTCTTTTAACTCCATTTGCTTAAGATCTGTACAAATTTTATATATATATATATAAATATAAAAATTTTGGCTATGTCAGGCATTGTCCATGCCTATAATTCCAGCAACTTGGGAAATTGAGGGCAGGCAGATAGCAAGTTCAAGGCCAGACTGGTCAACTTAGTGAGACTATCTCAAAATTAAAAAGGGCTGTGGATGTAGTTCAGCAGTAGAGAGCTTGCCAAGCATATTCAAGGCCTTGGGTTCAGTCCCCAGTACAATCAATCAGTGCTTTTTGTTGTTGTTACTGGTGATTAAACTCAGGGGTGCTTAAACACTGAACCACAACATCCCTGGCCCTCTTTTTTTATATTTTTAATTTTTTTTCATTTGTTTTAATTAGTTATATATGACAATAGAATACATTTATGCACTTTGATATATCATACATAAATAGAGTATGATTTCTCATTTTTCTAATTGTACATGATGTAGAATCACATTAGTCATGCAATCATATATGTACATAAGGTAATAATGTCTGTTTGAGTCTACTCTCCTTCCTATATCCCCATACCCCCTCCCCTCCCTTCACTCCCCTCTATCTAATCTCCAGCCCTTTTTATTTTGAGACAGGGCCTCAGCCTCCTGAGCTGTTGGGATCATAGGCATGTGCCACCACACCTGGCTAATCAATGCTTTTTAAAATAAAATAAAATGAATATTTTAGATTAGTTGAAAGAGCTTACAATTGTGAGATCACCTTCTTTGACTTTTCTTCCTGCATTCTAGGATGGGGAAATGGTGCTTCTGGATGGAGGTTGTGAATTTTCCTGCTATGTGAGTGACATCACCCGTACCTGGCCTGTCAATGGCAGGTAGGGATTTTACAAAGTAACATATCCTGCTGCTTCTTAGCATGAGTTGGTTTATAGATGTACTTGGAATAAATGACTAAAGAAATAAGCAGGGCTTTTGTAGGTCAGGTTACCTGCCTTTGAAGAATCATGATGTATTCTAAGACTTTTTGTTATTGTTGTTGTTCATCATATAGCAGATTCAGAAGCCTAGAAATACTATGTTAGCTAACACACACACAAACACATGCATGCGCGCGCGTTTTTTAAAATTAGTTTGTTGGTTTTTTTTCCCTGATTGCAAATGTAGTATTTAGGATATGGTAGAATAGATTAGTTGTATTAACCTACCAAAAGTAGTAGTAATGAAATCTGAACAAAATAATAAGACAGCTACTTAAAACCACCAGAGAGCTTCCACAAACAGGAACTATACAAGTATGTCTTTGAAAGAAAATTATAAATTAATAAATTTAGTGGTTAAGGCTTTTTACCTGAGGATTCCCCAACCCACATTGCTTTAGCAACATAAAGCCACAACCTTATTGGTTAAGATGATTGATTTAGATTCTGGCAGAATATTTAGAAACATGGGAGGAAGTTCTTCAAAAGAAGGAACAACAGAGTGTGAGCCCCAAAATCTACATACAAAATATTCAGAAATCCTTGGCTGAGTTGGGGGAAGGCCTCAGGACATTGAGCAAAATACCAGCAGCTAGAAGCTGAATAAACTGAGCAGAAATTTTAGTTGCTTCCCACTGAAAGCAGAGTTTATAATTTGAATCCATCCAAGCTAAAATAATAATAATAATAATAATAATCACTCTTGAGGAGAACATAACCCCTAAAGCAAAATACTATAAATAGGTACAGCTAAAAAGCCAATGGGGGAATTAAGATAGAATATTAAAACCCATTCTAAAAAAAATTTTATTGACCCAAAAGAAGACAGGGAAGGAAAAAACAAAAGCAGGCAAACAAAAAGATGAGTGGAAAAAAAAAACAGCAAAATAACAGAAATAAATCCAACTGTAGTAATGATAGCCAGGCTCAATGCTGTTTAACAGAAAAGCACTGTCAAACATGGAAGACACGAATTTTGAAAATAAAATATCCAAGACAGACATACTATGCAAATATCAATCCTAAGATAACCAGAATGCTAACGCTTAGTGCAGTGGTGCACAGCTGTAATCCCAGAGACTCAGGAGGCTGAAGCAGGAGGATCACAAGGGCTGGGTATGTAGTTCAGTCTTCTGGGTTCAATCTGCAGTACCAAAAAAAAAAAAAAAGGAAAGAAAAAAAAAACTAGAATGGTTAAATTAATACAGACAAAATAGATTTCAGGACAAAGGAATATTAGTAGAGACAAAGAGCATCATTTTGATGATGATGAAAGTGTCAGTATGTCAGAGAGATATAACTATTATGAAGGTATAAGTAGCTAAAACAGAGCTTCAAACTACATGAAGCAAGCTGGATGCACGCCTGTAATCCCGTCTACTCAGGAGGCTGAGATAGCAAGATCGTGAGTTCAGATCAGCCTCAGCAATGGTGAGACACTAAGCAACTCGGTGAGACCCTGTCTCTAAATAAAATGCAAAATAGGCTTGGGAATGTGGCTCAGTAGTTGAGTGCCCCTGAGTTCAATCCCCAGTACCCCCCAAAATAAATAAATAAATGAAGCAAACTAACAGGACTAAAAGGAGAATACACAATCCCACAATTATAGTTGGAAGTATTGACAAATCTTTCTGATTAATTTATAAAACAAGTTACCAAAAGATGAAGATTTGTTTTGTAAAATAATGTGTCTAACAACTGCAGATGACACATTCTTTTCAAATAGGCATAAAAGAGCATTCACTAAGACCATTTGTTGAGCTGTAAAACCAGTCTCGGTTTCAAAAAGGTGAAGATTTATATAATTAGATTAAAAAATCAACAAAAATATTGTTACAATAAGATACACACCCATACACACACACACACACTCGTATTTTTTTTTAACCCAGGTGTGCTTTACCACTGAGCTACATTCTCACCCTTTTTTATTTTTTATTTTGACAACAGGGGTCTCACTAAGTTGCTTAGGGACTTGCTAAGTTGCGGACGTTGACTTTGTACCTCCCACCTCAGCATCCCAAACTGCCACTAATATTTTTAAATCTCCAAATAGATGAAAATAAGTGAATGCATTCTAAATAACCTATAGGTTAAAGAAGCAGCAAAAAAAAAAAAATTACAATGTATTTCACATAGAATACTAATAAAAATACTACATATAAAGATGTGGGGGGTGCTGAGGTTGTAGCTCAGCTGTAGAGAGCTCACCTAGCACATTCAAGGCACTGGGTTTGATCCTCAGCACCACATAAAAATAAATAAATAAAAATAAAGGTATTGTGTCCAAATACAACTAAAAAATTATTAATAAAAAAAAGATGTGTGAGTCCAAGTGCTTCTCATACACCCATAATCCCAGCGGCTTGGGAGGCTGAGGCAGGAGGATCGCAAATTCAAGACCAACCTGAGCAACTTAGTGAGTCCCTAAGAACTTAGCATGACCCTGTCTGAAAATAAGAAAACATTTTTTAAAAGGCTGGGGATGTGGCTCAGTGTAACGCTTCCCTGGATTCAATCCCTAGTACCAAAAAAAAGATAAATTGGCAAGGGCCTGGGCCTGTGGCTCAGTGGTAGAGCACTTGCCTGGCACGTGTGAGGCACTGGGTTTGATCCTCAGCATCACATATAAATAAATAAATAAAATAAAGGTATAAAAAGTCTGATTAAAAAAAAAAAAATAAAATAATTGGCAAGCAAAAGAGTAGGATATGCCAGGCACAATGACACGTGCCTGAAATCCCAGGAGCTCAGGAGGCTGAATCAGGAAGATCATGAGTTCAAAGCCAGCCTCAGCAAAAGCAAGGTGCTAAGCAACTCAGTGAGAACCTATCTCTAAATGTAATACAAAATAGGGCTGGGGATGTGGCTCAGTGGTTGAGTGCCCCTGAGTTCAATCCCTGGTACCAAAAAATAAAAAGGAAAAAAAAAACTAGGATATAATTTTCATTCAGTGAAGATTGTTTAAAACAGACACTTGACAAAGGAATATATACAGATGACCTGTACATACTTTAAAGTATTCATCAGTGTTGGTCATTGGAGAAATGCACATTAAAGTGCACAATAAGATAACATTACTACTAAAATGGCTAAAATTAAAGACTAACCATACCAACAATTGGCAACAAAGCAATACAACTGAAACTGTGATACCTTGCTTTTGGTAGTGGTAGTGTATAATGTTTACAACCACTTTGGGGGAAAAACTTGGCAGTTTCTTATGAAGTTAAATAAATGCTGACCCTTTGGCCTAGTAATTCCACTTCTAGGTATTTACCTCAGAGAAACAAAAACATGTCCACAAAGACACATATAAGAATGTTTATAACATCTTTATTCACAATAGCCAAAACCTGGAAACAAATATCTATCAACAGAAGAATGAATATGCAACTTATGGTATACAATATGCAGTTTCAAATAATGAAATACTGATCAACCATAAAAATATTCTACTGATTAGATAAATTACATAGCCATTGTGCTCGAAGAAGAAAGTTGCACACAGAAGAGTACATATCATATGATACACAGAATGGTCAGAATGAATGAAATTATCAAGACAGTCTTTGCCTCTGGAAGAAGGGGTATTAATTAGAAATAGAAACAGGGAATACACCTGTCAGCTACACAGGAGGCTGAGTAGGAGGATCGAAAATCCAAGTCCAGCACTGACCCTGTCTCAAATTTTCAAAAATAACTGGGGATACAGCTCAGTGGTATAGCACCCTTATATTCAATCCCCAATACGATGAAAAGGAGAGAGAGGGGAGGGAAGGAGAAAGAAGCAAGAAAGTTTTCTGGGAAGGTTAAAATGTTTTGTATAATGTAGGTTTACGGATCTGTGGGTCAGGATTCTCCAGAGGAACAGACCCAGTGGGTATGTGTGTATGTATGTACAAATACTTACATGTCACTTAACAGTGAGGATATATTCTGAGAAATGCTTCCTTAAGTGATTTCATCATTGTGTGAACATAATGGGGTATACTCACACATTTAGATGGTATAGGTCAATCATTCATTGTAGCCTTTTTTTAATGTTTTTACTAGTGCATTATAGTTACACATAGTAGTGTTCATTTTGACATATTCATGCATGCATGTAATATAATTTGCTCCATTTTAATCCCTATATTTCCACTTTACCTCACCTCCTCCCTGCCCCTATTCCCCTTCTTCTTCTACAGTGGTCTTCCTTCTAGTTACTGTTATTTTTTATTGGTGTTTTATAGATATACATAAAGGTGGAATTCACTGTGGTATACTCATATATGCACATAATTTGATCAGTGCCTTTCTGTAGGTCCTTTTTCCTGTTCCTCCTCTCTCTCCCTCAAACCTCTTCCTCTACTCCACTAATTTCCCTTCTATTTTCATGATGTTCTCTCTACTTGTTTTGTTGTTGTTGTTGTTGTTGTTGTTGTTGTTGTTTTCTCTCCTTATTTCACTCTAGCTTCCAAATATGAGAGAAAATATTTGACTTTTGACTTTCTGAGTCTGGCTTATTTCACTTAGCATGATGTTTTCCATTTAACAGCAAATGCCATAATTTCATTCTTTATGGCTGAGTAAAACTCCATTGCGCATATATACCACATTTTATTTATCTGTTCATCTGTTGATGGGCACATGGGTAGGTTCTATGACTTGCCTATTGTGAATTGAGCTGCTATAAACATTGATGTGCCTACATCACTATAATATGCTGATTTTCATTTTAGATTAATACCAAGGAGTGGGAAAGCTGGGTTTTATGGTGGTTCTATTCCTAGTCTTTTGAGGACTCTTCATACTGCTATCTAAATGGCTGTTCTCATTTATAGACCCACCAACAGTGTGCTTAACCACTGAGCCACATCCCCAGCCCTTTTCATTTTTTTACCTTGAGACCTGTTCTCCCTAAGTTGTGTAGGAGGGTGGCCTGGAACTTGCCATTCTTCTGCCTCAGCCTCCTGAGTTGCATGACCCTGATTGCTAAGGATGTTGAACATTCTTTCATATATTTGTTGGCCACTTGTATTTCTTCTTTTAAGAAATACCCATGGGGCTGGGATTGTGGCTCAGTGGTAGAGCGCTCACCTAGCACGGGCAGGACCCGGGTTCAATCCTCAGCACCACATAAAAATAAAGGCATTGTGTCCATCTACACCTAAAATATAAATGTTTAAAAAAAAAAAAGAAAGAAAGAAAGAAAAAGAAATACCCATTTAGGGGCAGGGGTTGTGGCTCAGTGGTGGAGTGCTTGTCTAGCACATGCAAGGCCCTGGGTTCAATCCTCAGCACGACATAAAAATAAATAAATAAACAAACAAACAAATAAAGATGTTGTGTCCAACTACAACTAAAATATAAATATATGATGGGATAGGAGGGGAGGGGAGGGAAGGGGAGGGGGAATAGGAAGAGCAGCAGAATACAGTAGACACTAGTATTGCTGTATGTATATACGTGGCTGTATAACCAATGTGATCCTGCAATCTGTACATGTGGAAAAATGAGAATTCATGCCCCATTTGAATCAAATGTATGATATGTCAAGATCATTGTATTGTCATGAGCAACTAATAAAATATATAAAGAAAGAAATACTCATTTAGTTCTTTTGCCCATTTATTGATTTTATTTTATTTGGCATTAGGTTTTTTGAGTTCTTTATATATTCTGGATATTAATACCTGTCCAAGAAATAATTGGTAAAGATTTTCTCCCATTCTTCAGGTTCTATCTTCATTCTCGTTTCCTTTGCAGAAGCTTTTTGATATAATGCCATCCTACTTACTGATTCTTGGTTTTATTTCTTAATCTTTAGGGGTCTTGTTAAGAAAGTCAGTGCCTGTGTCTATATGTTCCAGTGTTTGACCCTGTGTTTTCTAGCAGTTACAAAGTTTCTCATCTAATTCCTAAGCCTAAACCTTTGATCCTCTTGAATTGACTTTTGTGCTGAGTAGCAAATAGGGATCTAGTTTTATTCTTGTAAGTATGGCTATATTCCATTTTACCAGCTCAATATGTGGGTTTTGTTGTTGTTGTTGTTGCTGTTTTGGTACCAGGGATTGAATGCAGGGGCCCTTAAACACGGAGTCACATCCCCAGCCCCTTATATATATGTATATATATATATATATATATATTTTTTTTTATTTTGGGAGAGTTTGGAATTTTTAAATTTTTTTTTTTTATTTTTGGTGGGCACAACATCTTTGTTTGTATGTGGTGCTGGAGATCGAACCCAGGGCCACACGCATGCCAGGCGAGCACGCTACCGCTTGAGCCACATCCCCAGCCCCCCTTTTTTATATTTTATTAGAGAGAGAGTCTCACTGAGTTGCTTAGGGCCTAGCTAAGTTGCTGAGTCTGGGTTTGAACTTGCAATCCTCCTGCCTCAGCCTCCTGAGTCACTAGGATTACAGGCGTGCACCACTGCACCCAGCCAATATGGTCTTTTGATGTAATTGAGAGATGCAGTCACGTGGGTCATGTAGAGCTGCTGCCATTGTAACATAGCAGACTGTTTACATTCAGCTTTTTTTGTGTGTGTGTGCAGTACTGGGGATTTAGCCCAGGGTCGCTGTACCACTGAGCTACATCCCCAGGCTTTTTTATTTTATTTTGAGACAGGGTCTCACTAAATTGCCCAGGTTGGCCTCAAACTTGCAATCCTCTGTCTCAACCTTCTGAGTAGCTGAGATTACAGGTGTGCACCACAATGCCTGGCTTACAGTCAACTTTTTTTTTTTTTTAATGAATTTAACCTTAGCATTTTATTATCTTCATAATAAAACAATGAAGCTTAGAACTGGATCACTTGGTCCTTGCTCTTTTAATCTCCTCCCAGTTCAGAATGCTTGCATCTCTTAAAAACCAGCATTCTCTTAGATCTGCTTTTAGGCTCAACACACTCAAGCCTCAGCACAATCTTTGTAGTTTTAGGCTTTTTCCTGAAAAATCACCTTAGTCTGCCCCGCCACAGCCACTCTGTTTCCTGTCACAATGCCACTTTCCCTATGCATATAGAGAATCCTTGCCCCTCTTGTACTGTGTCACTTTATGAAGTTACTGTTTACCACACTTGTCATAGAAAGTCTGACAGGTTTTAGGAATGTTCACCAGGAGGCTGGGGCTGAGGCATAAGGATCACCTGAGTCCAACAGTTCAAGACTATTCTAGTCAATATTAGCAATATCTAGTCCAAAAAGAAATAAAATTTAAACATTTAAATGAAATAATGATAAATAAATGTATGATATGTTAAATACATAAACCAGTAACAGTCATTTATTAGCATTAGTCAGTATTACATACTGAACATAATTGTATGTGCTATATTTTTAGACAATTGGCAGCACAGTAGGTTTGTTTATTCTATCATCACTACACATAAGATGTATTCCACTGACATTTTGATGGCTGTGATGGCACCTAGGCAGTGGGAATTTTCAGCTCTGTTATCATCTTATGAGACCACTCTTACATATACAGTTGATCATTGACCAAATGGCATTCATGACTGTGCATAGATGTGTGTTTATGTATATAAAGGTAGGTAGACTTTAAAAAATTGACTCATGCAGTTGAGGGTCTGGCATGTCTGAATTTTGTAGAGCAGGTAGCAGGCCAGAAACTCAAGGAGGAGTTGATGATGCGGCCTTGAGTCCAAAACCTATAGGACAGACAGACTAGAAATTCAGGCAGGATTTACAATACAGTTTTGAGACAGAATTCCTTCTCTAGGTCTGGCATTTGAGTTTGTTTATTGTAGGCTACCTTTTGGTCCATGTTTTTTTCCATCCAACCATCCAAACTGTTAGAGCTTTTCTGCCCCCTTAAACCTCAACACTGAATCCAGAATCTCTTGCTTAGTGAAATTATAACAATAAACTCAGCCTGATCCAATTCTGTGTTCCTTCTGCCATTATCCCACACTGTAAATATCCATCCCATACATAGTCCCAGATTTTTGTCTGTATATATTGGAAAACTCCATGCAGTTCTTTTTAGAGTATTATATATCTCCTCATCGATCACACTTTGCTTTTTTTTTTTTTTTTGGTAGTTATAGATGGACAGAATTCCTTTATTTTATTTGTTTATTTTTATTTTTATGTAGTGCTAAGGATTGAACTCAGTGCCTCACACACAATAGCCCCAGCTCCAGTGGATCACGCTTTGTACCTAACCTTTCAGAGAGTGTTGGGACTCAAGTCTGGTTTAGGTATAGAAGCAACCAAGACAATTACTCAGTGGAGGTACCTGTGGGTTCTTAGACAGAGGTAGAAGGAAGACTCAGCAGAATTTGGGAGTTCATTGTCCCTATGTTCATGAATATTGATATATTCATTTGTCAAAATCATCATCTCAGATTGTACATTTCAGGGTATGTAAATTTTAACCAGGAGCTACTCTGTATTCCAGTAATCCCAGCTATTTCAGAATCTAAGGTAGGAGAATCACTTGAGTCCAGGAGTTCAAGGCCACCCTTAGCAACATAGCAAATAAGATTCTGTCTCCAAAAAAAGGACGGTTCAAAAAATTATTTAGTGGCACACTCCTATAATCTCAGCAACCTCAGAGATTAAAGCAAGAGAATCATGAGTTTGAAGCCACCCTGGGGGCTTCAAACTTAGCAACTTAGCAAGACTCATCTCAAAATAAAAAGAACTGGGGATGTAGCTCAGTGATAAAGTACCCTTGGGTTCAATCCCCAGTAAATATAAAATAAATAAAATAGTACTTTGTGGGATGAGGTCTGAGTGCATTTATAGATGACATAATTATAAAAATATTGATAATGGTTGAGCCTAGGGGGTACATAGGTGTTCATTTATATTACTATATTGTTATATTTAATCATTATATTAGAGTTCATCAAATTATGCAGTTATACCCTACAAATATTACAAAAACAAATATATTTGTACATTCAACTTTTTTGAATTTCAATTACTTTCTAAGGATGGGTTCTTTGAGCAGAATCAAAAGTTCAATTTATTTTTAAGGCCTTTTTTAAATATTTGTTTTCTAGTTGTAGTTGGACACAATACCTTTATTTCACTTATTATTTTTATGTGGTGCTGAGGATCGAACCCAGGGTCTTGTACATGTGAGTGAGTGCTCTAGTGCTCTACCGCTGAGCCACAACCCTAGCCCTCTTTAAGGCCTTTGATTTAATTGACTATACTATTTACACTCCCATCAAGAGTATATGAGAATACATATATTATCTCAGCTCATTAATAAGCACCTAGTAACCATCTGAAGGAGAGGCTGTGTTGCTGCCCCAGCTTGAAGGAGTGTCACTCTCCTACTGAGCACCTAGGAGTTCAGGATTCTCTTAGTAATGGTGTTTCAGTAGTTACCAAGTATCAACAATGCCTCAGCAACAGCAGCCTAGAATTCCTCTAATCGAACAGAAGCAAAGTTCTTGCAATATCTGATTATTCTGAATTTAAGGTCTTTTACTTTCCTGTTCATAGGTTCACCGCAGCTCAGGCAGAACTCTATGAAGCTGTTCTAGAGATCCAGAGGGCTTGTCTGTCCCTCTGCTCCCCTGGGACAAGCTTGGAGAATATCTACAGCATGATGTTGACGCTAATAGGACAGAAGCTTAAAGAGTTGGGGCTCATGAAGAACAGCAAAGAAAATGCTTTCAAGGTACTTCCCTTCTCTTGACCCCAGTTCTCAAGAATGCCAACATGCTGCTCTATTTTACCCTATATAAAGCTAAGTAGACACTTATAATCCTACTAACTCAGGAGGCTGAGGCAAACAGATTGCAAGTTCAAGACCAGCCTGGGTGATTTAGTGAAACCCTGTCTCAACTTTTCAATGGCTGAGGATGTGGCTCAGTAAGAGGCCCTGGGTTCAATCCCCATTACCACCAAAAAAAAAGAAAGAAAGAAAGAAAAGATCTTTGTATTCTTTATCTGTAGAAAGGATTTGGCTTTAACATTGGTTGAAACAAAAGGAATCAGTACTTAACATCTTCCAGAAGATGGCAGCACATTTTGATTCTTGACTTACTGCGTGACCAGCTCAATGTTCAGAAAACAAAATGAAGTCTGGTTCATAATGGGTAGGAAAGGACATTAAAAAGAAGAGAAGTTAACTCTCAATCCTTTCGTGATGATTCTGAAGGTCAGAGGAGAGAATGTTTGTTGTTTGAGTGACATTGTTGAGATTTTAACACTATGTTCAAAAGCCTGTCTTTAATAAATTTTATCTGCTCCCAAAATGTAATGATGTCTAAAAATGTAAAACCTCAGCTTTAAAATTAATATGCTAAGTGGTCAAGCCAGATAGACCATTAAGCATCTTTCATCTCTAAGTTCAGGCTGCTCTAATCGAACAGAAGCAAAGAAGAGAATAGAAAAGAATAGAAATAGAAAAGAAGCTATAAAGCCAGGTATGCTGGTGCACACCTGTAATCCCAGACACTCTGGAGGCTTAGGCAGGAGGATTGAAAGTTCAAGGCTAGCCTCAGCAACTTAATTAGACCCTGTCTCAAAATAAAATTTTTAAAGAGGACGAGGGATGTAGTTCAGTGGTAGAGTGCTTGCCTAGTATGCTCAAGGCTCTGGGTTCAATCCCCAGTACTGCAAAAGAGAGAAGAAAAGAAACTGTTGGGGTTCAAGCGGTAGCACGCTCGCCTAGCATGCGTGCGGCCCGGGTTCGATCCTCAGCACCACATACAGACAGAGATGTAGTGTCCGCCGAAAACTAAAAAATAAACATTAAAAAATAATTCTCTTTAAAAAAAAAAAAAGAAAGAAAGAAACTATTGGGGCTGGGGTTGTGGTTCAGCAATAGAACGCTCGCCTAGCACCTGGGAGAGGCTAGGTTCGATTCTCAGCACCACATAAAAATAAATAAAATAAAGATAGTGTGTCCAACTACAACTAAAAAATATATTTAAAAAAAAAAAGAAGCTATAAATTTTCTGTTACTTAGGCTTACACTTCTTTAATTAACTGATAGAAATATCCAAGCTAGTGAATGCCTAATAATTATGCCTACTCCACAGGTTGCTGTAACCTACTTAGGGTGACCAGAGTAGGCTTCCTGAGAGAGATGTGAGAGTATTGAAAAGAAAAGGATCCTAATATGGTCATCTTCCCTTAACCAAGGAAAGAGATTTTCATTTGTCATAGTCATTACTGGGATTCCCCAAGTCAGCAAGTGTTTAGTAGATTTTTAGTGAGATGGAAATGTGGATTTAGTGTCATTGGCAGAATTGCATATAAGCAGAAGCTAGGCACATGTTAGTTACATTCCCCAGACCCATTATCAGGCCTCTTAAGCAATAGCCCAAGGACAGGTTAGGCATAAGTAGCAGAACCATTGGGAAAGTATTAATGCAAATCTCACTGATTTAAACATGCCCAACTTGCCCCTTAAGAGGTCCTTGCTCTAATAAAACTGTGGTTATTATCTCTTCTAGTCTGCTCGAAAATACTGCCCTCACCATGTAGGCCATTACCTTGGGATGGATGTCCATGATACTCCAGACATGCCCCGTTCTCTCCCTCTGCAGCCGGGTATGGTGATCACAATTGAACCAGGTGAGGAGCTCGGTCCTTTCAGGACAAATAATACTGTGATTGTTTGTTTTTACCTGAACCAACATAATTAATTATATAAAAAGAAACAGGGGACAGGAGGGACAGGGTGGATCTCTCCAGTGCAGAGGTGACTTCATTTTAGATTTATCTTTAACTTTCTTATTTAACATCACACAATTTGTTTAATTTCTTTTACCTTTTTTTTCACATAATTTGTTTAATTTTACTTCTCCAATAAACAACAGATGGTGAATGCTTTCTATAAGCAGATATTAAAAAATAAATCTGTTTTTGATTCTGCCTTTGCCAGGGCCAATTTGTGCTATTCTCCCAGTTGTTAGTAGTGGACTGCTCAAACTTCCAAAACCCAGTGAGTGCAGGCAGAGAGACCTACAGACTCTCCATGTTCAAATGCAACATCCCTGCAAGCTACAGTGAACTAGCCAGCATTATCCTACTGCTTAGTCTTCAACTCCTTTCTTATAAGCTTCAGTCAAATAGGTTTCCTGATTGAAGTGATACCAGGTGTCAGACAGAATACAAAAGAGAAATGGTATGGAAGATTAATGTTCCAAGAGTTAATTTTTTTATTTTTTAAATTAATTAGTTAATTATTTATTTTAAGTAAATAATAGTGCTGGGGATCAAATCTAGGGCCTCATGCATGCTAAGTAAACACTATATTACTGAGCTCCATACCTAGACCCCCAAGAGTTAATTTGTAAAAACAGACACTGTTTTCATGGTGAAAAGAAGATCATAACTTTAGATTAATGTTTTAACCTCTAAATTATAAAAATTATTGCTTGGAAATGTATTTCATACAACCCTTTGAACCCAGTCATTTGTTGTTCTGGTCTTAGATGGTCTTTAGTCTAATTAGTCTAATCTTGTTAGTAAATGGGTGCACATGGATTCTTCCTTAGATTTTTTGAATCCTCTTTTTATTTTTTTATTTTTTGTACCAGGGATTGAACCCAGGGGCGTTTAACCACTAAGCCACAACTCCAGCCCTTTTTTATATTTTATTTAGAGACAGCATCTTGCTGAGTTGCTTAGGGCCTCGATAAATTGCTGCAGCTGACCTTGAATTCAAAATCCTCCTGCCTCAGCCTCATGAGCCACTGGGATTACAGGCGTGCACCACTGTGCCTGGTGGGGAAAAAAACTTTAATGACTATTCAACAGTTTCTGCTTGTTAAGGCTAATAATCACTAAATAAATATTTAAATGCAATTTAAACACATTTAATATATATTTTATCTTTATTTTAGCCACATGCCCTTTTCCAGAGGAGCATTAGGCAAAGGGAGTGTACATATATAATCTGCTAGTTCCCAGCATGTATAGACATATTCATAAGTTAAGTAACTAACTTTAGTGTCCTACGTGAGCCAGTAGACTATGAGGGAATCATGATCAACATTGTCATGTAAAGCCTGTAGACTAATACACAAGATGATTGTAATGATAATAATTCTAGTAATGATATATCCCATATTATTGATCATTATGTGCCAGGCGCTGTTAAATGTGTTGTCTCATTTAATCCTCATAACTCGGGCTGGGGATGTGGCTCAAGCGGTAGCGCGCTCGCCTGGCATGCGTGCAGCCCGGGTTCGATCCTCAGCACCACATACAAAACAAAGATGTTGTATCTGCCGAAAACTAAAAAATAAATATTTAAAAAAAAAAATCCTCATAACTCTGTTAGGCTTAAGATACAGACACAGATAAAGAATTATAACTCATATTAACTTGCCCAGAATCACCCAGTTACTGCCATGCTGAACAATGCACTCTTCTCTCTACTTCTCAGGCATTTATATTCCAGAGGATGACAGAGATGCTCCAGAGAAGTTTCGAGGTCTTGGTGTGCGAATCGAGGATGATATAGTGGTGACTCGGGACTCCCCTCTCATCCTTTCTGCAGATTGTCCCAAAGAGATAAATGACATTGAGCAGATCTGCAGCAGAACCTCATGACCCCCATTGCAACTCAGATGCATCTCAGGTTCAAAACAGGCGTGCAGGCATCCCTGCATGTGTGCATTCTGAGTCTCCATGCATATTTATGCACATGTTTTATTTGGGAGTGCAGCAGCTATATATGATGTGTATAATCATTACATGAGCTTTTCTAAGTAGATGGAAAAATGGAAAAGTGAATTTTGGAATGATTTCTTACTATGACTTTAGTAACATTAATTCTGTAGAATTAATGATCCAAACAAGTTTAATTTTTAAACGTAAAATATGGTTATATAAGTCATTTCATTCCAATTAACACATTTAAACATAGGGAAAATTCTCTTCTCTCTAGGTCCTTTCTTTTCTTTACTTTCACTGATGTCATAAGATATATGATGCCTGTATCATATATGATGCTAATCACCAGGGTCTCTGCCTGTGCTGAGAGCTACATGTCAGTGACTTTGGATGGCCAGCACATACCTTTCATAACTCCTGCCTCCATATTCCATATTCTGCTTATGTACTGGAGCCACATGAATTTGCAGGGGCACTGGCATCCTTTCCATTCAGCCACAGTCCAGATTCAGCAACATGAGCTATTGAACAAAATAGTTTTGAATCTTTCTTGCTATTTGATTGCCTGAGCCCTAGAAAGTGTTTAGATTTTTCATAAGGAAGAAAACCGAACAGAAAGAAAAGAATGTGTGTCTCTTACAGATCCAGACCTCCAACTATTTCTTCTCTTCAATTTAAAGATGATTCCTTTCCCAGGCATCCCTGATTCCTTTATAAGTTTTTTGTTGTTGTTGTTGTTATTGTTATTGTTTTTGAGATAAGTTGTTTACCTAGGCTGGTCTTAAACTTTAGGGCTTAAGTGATCCTCCCATCTCAGCCTCCAGAGTTGCTGGCATGCCACTGTACCTGGCTCCTTCACAGTTTATTTACTTTGTTTTTTCTTTTTCTTCCCACCTCTCCTCCCAGTACTAGAACCTAGCGCCTCACATATACTAGGCAAGCACTCTACCTACCACTGAGCTGTATCCCCACATCTTTTTAATTTTGAGACAGGATCTTACTCAGTTACCCAGGCTGGCTTAGAACTTGTAATCCTCCTGGTCCAGCCTTTGCCTACCTGGGATTACATTTAAGTCCTACCATACCTGGCCACCACACCAGGTAATGCACTGACCTCATAAGTTACTCTTGAAATTACTGCACTGGCCAAAAGCAGATCCCCCACTTACCCTGTTAAAGTCAAAATAATGGTGTGGTTTCCTCTAGCTCTGATTTTTATATATATATAAAATCAATACAACAACTCAGTCTGTATAATGAACAGAAAGAACTAAATTACTAAAGATGGTTTATTCAGAAGCTTCTGTTTGAGGGAATTTCTAAGGATCAGTGCATTCACCTCCTTTAAACCCAATGTACAAAACATAATGGTTCAAGGGTTTGTGGTTTTCTTTTTTTCATATTTGTGTTAAGGAAGCTCAAGGCTAAGGGATTAGTAATCTAGTGCTAGAAGTTTGCCCATAGTACGTACTGAGCCAAAAACAGACAAGAGACAAAGATAATGTTACAACAAAAGTGAAAGAGATCACATTCTGACAGATAGTACTTATCCACAAGTGCCTGGTTCTGCTAATGTTAGCTAAGTGGCTGTGGGAATGGAGGCTGCACCAATGGAGGCTATATCCCCATTCCTGCCCTCCCACCTTCTTCCAATTCTCAGTCTGTGCTGCTTTCTAACAGAAAGGGAGGGGCATAAACCCACCACTCTGGCTTTTCATTCACCTAGCCTTTGTACTTTATTCTTTTTTTTTTTTTTTTTTTTTTTTGTAGTTGCAGATGGACAGAATGCCTTTATTTTATTTGTTTATTTTTATGTGGTGTTGAGGATCGAACCCAGTACCTCACGTATGCAAGCACTCTGCCACTGAGCTACAGCCCCAACCCTCCTTTATTCTTTTTAAGTCCTGGAATACAGAATTTCCTTTTCATCCCGTAACTCGTTTTCTGTGGTCTTCACCTGGACATCAGGCAGAAAAGTTCTACAGAAGTACTGGAGTCTATAGTCCCTGCGCCACCATACATTGTCCTTTGAATTAACCAGATTAACCATAATAGCTAAGCGTTTGAGTCAGACTATTAGAACATAATGAAGATCTCATAGCTGTCTAATATATATTAGGATTTGTTGAACAGGTAATTTTTCACAGTACAGAGATCTTATTCATTCTTAGCCATGCCACAGACATACCCTATATTTTCTCCAGTCAAAAGTATAATAATCAAATATTTCACATATACTACCAGGCTTTCCTACTGAGAACTTTTATTTAAAATTTAAAAATGAAAAGAAAAAAACCTTCTCCAGATATTGTCATTGGAATTTTTCCACTGCATTTAGAAATGTGGTTGTATCATCAATTATACCCTCTAAATGAAAGAAGCATATCTGGATAGGCAGTGTCACATGCTTTTATGAATTTATTTCAGAAATTGCTCTTCTCAGGAAACTAGAAGTGGAGGGTGGGGCTAAGTTTTCTTGTTTTTAGTTTTTTAAATTAGAGACACAACAGTAGGAATACTCAAATTACAAATTCACTTCTTACCTTGACATGATGAAGCATGCCTGTAATCCCAGTAATTTGAGAGGCTGAGGCAGGAATATCACAAGCTGGAGACCAGCCCCAGCAATTTAACTAGACCCTGTCTCAAAAAATGTATATAAAGCTGGCGTAGTTGACATATCTAAAATCCCAGAAATTTGCGAGGCTGAGACAGGAAGATTACAAGTTCAAGACCAGCTTCCGTAACTTAGCAAGACCCTATCACAAAATAAAAATAAAAAGATCTGGGATGTGGCTCAGGGGTTAAGTGCCTCTGGGTTCAATCCCTAGTACCAAAAAAAAAAGCACTTCTCCAAATTCAGAAGGTGTGCCTTTGATGGTGGCTTAAAATATATACACCCTTTCTAGAACATTCATAGTCTTTTCTCTTTCTCTCCTTTTTTTCTCTCTTGTTTTTCTTTCTTTCTTTCTTTCTTTCTTTCTTTTCTTTGCAGTGCTGAGGATAGAACCTAGGACAGTGTATCTCATTAAAACAAATTTAGCTGCTCTGTATTTCCAGATATTTATAATGCACACCCTCTTCAGCTTTGTTATTAATAAGGAGACTGTAGCTATGAAACACAGGTGCTGCCTCTCCCCTCACCTGTGCCCCTCAGATCACAGTGACACACAGAGAACCCTCCCACCAGTCTATCGATCTAGTGATCTCAGGGTCCTGTGTAACAATGTTTCGATAACCTACCCATAAAAGTGTTGGAATTCAAGTTGGAACTCATCTGCCATCCTTCAGCTAGTATGACAGTGTTACTTATTTGTGTGTTAGAAATTGAATGAGGGCCTAAGATGGTGGCACCATAAAGGACCCCATATGGAAGGTGTTTTTATTTTTTTTAATACTTTTTTAGTTGTAGATGGACACAGTACCTTTATTTTGTTTATATGGTGCCAGGATCGAACCCAGTGCCTCACGCATGCTTGGCAAGTGCTCTACCACTGAGCTACAACCCTGGCCCTGGTTAACTTTTTTTTAAATTTTAGTTTCCTCAATCTGGATCCATAACCCAAACCTTAAGCAGGAAAGGTAAGTTTTAAGCCCCAAAACTTACTTTTAAGCTGAAGCATTTTTCATGTTCTAGGAGTCATAAAAAGGTGAAGGTCATCGCATTCTAACATTGTGGTAGAATTCCATAGTCAAACCACACCGGTCTGGTTGATCTTGTCTCTTCCTATGTGTCACTGAGGAACTTGGAGTATCATCTCTGCTGTTCAGGTCATAGTCCCTACTGGACACAAGGCCTCTTGGGTATACCGTCTTTGTTAGTATTAATGCTTTGTATGACTTCTGTGCAATTATATAAGTTCAGTTTGGACAAGATGCTGTTACTTTTTAAGGTTCTATTCATTGAAAATGACATTTGTCATTCCCCAACAAGGGGAAAGCATTTGTTACTGTCATTTTTAAAATATACTATGAAACAATATAGAATTGTTTGGGGTATGTGTGTTATTTTATAATCTAGGGTTTATAGGTTTAAATGTGAGAACACTTTGTTTTACAAAATATTTTCTTTTACAAAATATTCATTTAATGGCATCACAAAATCTTTTTTTTTTTTAAAGAGAGAGTGAGAGAGAGAATTTTTTAATATTTATTTTTTAGTTTTTGGCGGACACAACATCTTTGTTTGTATGTGGTGCTGAGGATCGAACCCCGGCCGAACGCATGCCAGGCGAGCACGCTACCGCTTGAACCAAATCCCCAGCCCACAAAATCTTGATAGTAAACTTGAGATGCTCTTACAAGTTGCAGATAGAGGAAAAAAACTGGATTTGATCCAGCCTTTTGAAAGTTAACTCCGCAACACTGGCCCATAATTTTCCAGTCAGCCCTGTAAGGCCACAAAGACTATAACAATAGCCACAAACAAGCACTTTAGGAAGATTGGATTTTATGGGAAAGTAGGATAAATTTGCAAAATAGTGAAAAAGCAAACTTTCTCCGTGAGCCATACACTGAATCATGTGCTGCCTCTCCATTGGGAACCATCTGTGTTTATTTACTTACTTATTTGCTAGGTTTTGCATTGCTGGGAATTTAACCCAGGTCCTTGAGCGCTAGACAGGTATTCCACCACTGAGCTGCAGTCCCATTTCTAGGAACCATCTTTTATGTACTTTGTATATTCATATACATACATGCACACATACATATATACACACATATACTTTTGTTTCTATATACATATACATACACATATATACTTTGTTTTGTTTTTTCACAGTAGTGGAATTGAACCCAAGGGTGCTGTACCACTAAACCTCATCCAGCCCTTTTTATTTTAGATAGGGTCTCACTAAGTTGCTAAGGCTATCCTCAAACTTGTGATCCTCCTCCTCTCAAGTCATTGAGATTACAGATGTGGGCCACTGTGCCCTACTATATGTATGCTTTATGTAATTTTGGTAAGAAAAAAAATGTACTTTTAGTTGTTGTTACAGGGATTGAACCCAGTAGTATTTAACCACTGAGCCACATCCCCATTCCTTATTTTTTGTTTTGAGACAGATCTTGCTAAGTTACTTAGGGCCTCACTAAGTTGGTGAGGCTAGCTTTGAATTTGTGATCTTCCTGCCTCAGCTTCCTCAGCCTCTGAGATTATAGATATGCATCACCACACTCAGCAAATGTACAGATTTCAGAGAAA